AATACTGGTAAAATAAGTGAATAATCATAGGCCATAATTGAAAAATACAGTTATTTTCTATGTGAGTATATTAATAAACTTGCAGCACAAAGAGAAAACTATAAACATTTCTTGAAAAGAAGTGTTTTAATATTAATTTACTTGTTTTCAATTTTGTATGATTCTATCTTAAATTAATTCAATGCAAGAAGTAACAGAGACGTGCACTTAAATATGTGTTTATCTTTATTTTACTTTCAAACTTGTTCTTCTGACCCACAAAACTTGAATTACTTACAAATGAGTCAGTGCTCAAAAGTTAATCACTTGTTGTATTTATTACTACTTCAGTATCAGTATGATACCATAACCCAAATAATAGAAATCAACAAGATAAAAGATCTAAATCCCATTACATCAGTGACCAACATAGAGGTCTCTATAACCTGACCTATGTATGCAAATAAGTGTGTATGTAATCAAGATACACTGATGTCAGAAACATATATTCTGAACAACATAATAAATTTTGAAGTGTAGAACTAGTTAGAAGCTACACAGAACAGGCTTTAGTGGCACAAATTTACATGCAGAAGTAGGCTAAATATACACATGTATGATGAGCATAATATACATGTATGAAAGTAAGTTGTTTCTGTTCAAAAATTGTCTGAAAATCTCAATAAAGAGAGGCCCATTTTTTTTATATATAAGAAAACACTGGAATATCACTTTTTTCCCTTCTTTTATTAATTTTTTCTACCGATTTTGTGACTTCAAAGGTCACTCTTCAGGAAATAGTTTTACTGAGAATTTATAACAAAAAACATACAATTACCACTTTTCAACTAAACATAAATAATCTTAATTATACATATATAATTTCCAAATGTACAAACATATAATACAGTCCATGTATAAATTAAGTAAATTACAAATGTTCCAAAATAAATAAAATTAATCCATATACTTTCCTTTTTAAATTAAAATATTATTCTAATTATACTTTTTCATATTATTATCATAACAGAAAAGCAATTTATTTATCCTATAATTTCATACCTTTACTTACTTTTTCTTTTCTGTAAATCTTAGTAACTGTTTTCTCGGTTTCACAATTCCTACTGACTTTACACAACTAATTACTTCTGCCTTCTTATTACTATCTATTTAAAGTGGCAACAAAAAAATTTATAAAATATTTTTTGAAAAATAATCTTTTACATTTTACACTACATTCCCCAAAAAGGGAAAACATGAAAATACTGTTCTTCTTGAATTTTTAATTTTTTCAAGATACATTCATTCAAATTTTTATTGGCATATAGCGGGCTTATTTTTAGAGACATCTAACATGGAGTTTATGTCAGTTTATCCTTAATCTTAAATTTTCTGCTCCACCAGTATATAATTCACCACAATTACATTCTTAGAATTGCAATTAAATGAGTTATCAATAAAAAACAAAATTTCATTGTTATTGTTCTTTATTGTTCTAGTAGATTTCATATCACCTTATATATATTTCATATTGCCTTCTTGATAAAATAATTTTATAATTTTTAATACATCTTTCAGTTCTTTATCCACTATGTTTTAAATGTGTATTAACAAATGAAATATCAATATGTGTATTTGGACAATGAGTCATAACAAAAGGTATAATATTCTCTTTAGGTTCACTAATCTCTCTGTTTAAATGTTTTTGTTTTTTTTATCATAAGAGTTATTCTTAACAATTTCAAAACCTCTTGATCTAAAACTTTCTCCAAATATTGACATTGAACTAAAAATGTGTTTAGTTCTAATAATCTAACTCGTTTCTCCACTGGAAACCAAACAATATAATCTACTTGCAAGATTTGCAGGAACATTTAATTTTATACATTTGGGATGGTTGCTAAAACAATCTACATATTGATGAGAATTTGTGGATTTATAAAAAAATGTCAGTTACAATTTCCTTTTCAGGTGAAACACTTACAACACATTTAAAAATGACAAGCCTTTATTATTTCTTTTGAGTGTAAACTTAATTTCATTGTTTATTGAATTTAAAATTCCAACAAATTCATTAATATCTTGAGCACTCAAATATACTGATTAGCACAAGAATTAAAAATATAGACTGATCAATATGCACATGAATGTATCATGCAGATTACAACTTTTATATCTAAATCATATAGCATAAAAATGATTTTACAGCTTCACACAGTCACTGTATATAACTTGAAATATTATCAGTATGTTAAATGTACAAATTAAACCATTTGAAAAACTCACTATTAATTTTAATTTTGTTAAAACTTTCATTACTCTGCTTCCGATTACTAACTTAGAATATAAAAACAAAAATGTCACGAAAAATGGTGTATATCAATAGTGGTAGAAACACATTACACCTAAAGTTAAAAACAAAGTGCAAAACAAATTTTATTCAAACAGTGTAACTTGTATTCATATATAGTTTCATATTTTCCTTGATAATGTTTAATGTACATGTAACCTGGTTTTGTAGTAAATGAAGTAAAAATATTTGAGTAAGACAGTATGAAACTGAGAACTAGTTTGATTAAATCATAATCTACAGTTAAATCTGTGCAACCACCAATAAAGTTAATTTTAAAACCATATTTATGACTAAACATTTATATATACATGTCATGGGTGTTCTTTTTATTAAGCTTTATTTTTATTAAAAGAAACTAAGATACTCTAGAATAACTATTCTTTAGTATTACATTTATACATGATGATACTTATAGCATTATCAGAATGAAAGTGGAATGGCAGAAAATAAGAACTCTTAACTCTCAAAACAAATTGTATGTATAATAAAAAAATGACACTTGTTTCCAGGGGTGAAATTCTCAAGAAAAAAGTGCTGGTACTCATGTATGCATACAATAAAGTATTTTACTTATATGTGTAATTTATACTAAAAAAGTGACCACAATTATAAATTTCATTTGACATACCACAGAAAACTGCTTGATTTTTCATAATATCAGTTGTTTTGATGGTTTTACAGAAACAAATGTATATCAAACAGGAAACTAAACCAAAATTTTCAAAATTGTAAACTTACTTAAAATGTTTTTTTTTTTTTTGTCTTCCTATTTCATTGATTGGGAAAGACATCATACATGCTAATATCAGGAGCAGGTACTGATCACAGCATAGCCAATAAAATATCATTTGGATATACTTATTGTTATTGACCAATCATAGAAACCACACAACACAGATAAGAGTACCTGATCAATTTCATAATTGACATTAAAACTGATAAATAACAAGATGTCATAGGTTCATTTGAAAAATATTTAGACTTTTAAAATTTGAGAGTTGTGATGTGTCTGACAGTAAGATGAAAGGCATTCTAGTTGGATGAAAAGTAGATCAAACAAGTCCTATTACTGAGAACCAGAATAATTTCACCCCTGCTTGTTTCCCACACTTATATAATAACTTACAATTTAAATTATCACTAGCCACTTATAACACATTACTACAATACTTATTATAAATCTAAATATCCAAGCATTTTATGCAACTTTATACAGTGGAGGCTGTATCCCAGAATAACTATCAGATATTGATGTGTGCTAGTAAGGTAGATATATACTTCAGAGGTTATACAAATGTAACTTGCAATCACATGATGGAAAAAAGTATTTTTATTCTTCACAAGAACATCATCTTGCACTCAGACTTGTCAGAGTCTGAATCAGATTGATGTCAATTCCCAGACATATCTTGAGTACAAATAGTTTTCTACCATATTTAATTTTTTGTGTACTACAGACTTGTACTTTTTAATAAAAGCTTGCCACATTTTGTAATACATGCTTAGTAACTTCTGAATTACAGTCAATATTACTTTTCCAGTACAGGCTTGATGCAATGGACCAAACCCATGCACAATGAGTTAATCAATAGCCCCATTAATCGATTAATCAAAAAAGTTAGAGGCTAGTGCCTCTAGTTAGCAATTTAAAAAAAGTTGGCAATGGATGCTGCTAACCAGTTGTCTTCCTTCTAGTCAGCACTTCAGAATTAGTGACAGTGGCAGACAGCCTTAGAAGCTTTGTCATGACAGAGCATGCAAGTCTGGTAGTACTGGTATTTTTACACAAGTTTCATATTTATGGTAAGTCTTTAGGCAAGGAAAGATGCTACCCAATGGTGAACAGCTCTGGCAATGAACGATATCACTGTTTATTTTTTATAAAATAATACACAAACATTAAAGGCTGTTTTTGCTTTAATAACCTATTACATTTTCTGAATGCCAGTTATCTTCAATATATTATTTTGCAATTGGTATGACTATATTTAGAGAAAAAGTTATAGTGTACAAGTAAATGCTTATGTAGTGTATGAATGTTGGCATTTATGAATAATGATGTGAATTATATATACTACAAATACTATATTCATTCTAACATCAGGTTGAACAATGAACTACTAGTGCACTTCGATATAGTGCATCACATCATGAAAAGTAAGCTCTCTGATATATGGCTCTCACAAGAACTTTGTGCATCCATGTTTCATGATATTCCAGGTATATTATAGTAAACACAGCAAAAATGTCTTATAGCATATGTCCTATTGACTGACTTTCCCCATTAAAAACAGATTTTTTTCCTTTGTCAACTTTAAAATGCCACAAACAAGAGGTAATACAATATACCGAACTCTGTATAGTACATTTATTATCCAATGCAAATATAGTAGAAATGTAATTTTATTACAACACACATGCACATATAGCTTTGTAAACTTTCTCGCAAACATTTATAATTTTCTGTAGAAGTTGCGTATCAACGTGTATATTTGTGCGAATATATATTATACAATATAATACAATGCAATCATTTATCACATCATCTGTGTAATGCAATGAAAATCCTAAACAAAATGACTTCAATTTCCACACATGAATGCAGACTTAAGTTTAATGCAACTAAAGCTCGATTAAAAATATATGAGTAAAGGTGAGAAATTCTTACCTGAATATCTCCCATATACACTTTATAACAAATGACATATGAATCGGAACCCTGACAGGATGACAGTTTGTAAGCTGGTGTTACACGTGATACAGCAATAAGTGACTTCAAGAGAAGACTCATTCGGTTATATACAGTAGGAATGACTTTTGCCATTGGATCAGTTTTTTCAGTCATTCCTATGCTCCAAGTTTCTAATACTAATGTATCTCCATCAACAGTTTTTAAGGATATTTCTGTACACATATTTGCACCAAACATGGGAAGTCCATTAGCCAGAACCTTTTTTGCTTCTGTTTGAACTTCAGGCAAGTCTTTGATGGCTACATTAAACTAAAATAAAAATAAAAAATAAAAATTTGTAATGGCTTTTTTTTTATACTTTCCATTCTTAGCAATATACGAAATAAATTCTTCAAATCATACCAAATTGTTGAAACATCTGCTATTACAATGTAACCAGAATCAAAACAGCACGATACACACATTTTATTAAGGTCCAAAAACTTTCCTGATTACTACTACATTTTAACCAAAATTATTAATAAAATCATTTTCTAGATCCTGGTACCCTGATTTTAACAAAAACAAGTCATTCATGACCCCACAAAACACCTTAAATACATGTACAGCCCTACACATCCATATACCTATGTGTAATCAACAAAGTTTTTAAAATAATTTGAACTAAAAAGCAAGTCATTATCTAATAACATTTAATTTGGTACATGTGTTTACAATCTACATATTTCTCCATTCAGACAAGTCACCCATGAGAAGACTGTCCAAACTCTTAACAATATGAACACCTGAATCAAGCCTTCTCTAATTCTTCTATGCTCTGTACAAAAAGAAATAAAAGTCTAGAACTTTTAAATAGGCTTATCCTCACAACTTAAAAAGACATATTATCCTAGTATATCTAAGCTTCTCTCTCTCCACTCTTTCCAACAAATCAATAAATTCTTCTTGTAGTAGAGGTACCAACAAGGCACGAAGTGCATCAAATGAGGCCTCACAAGTTTTAAAGGAAACTACGAAACCTTAATTTTAAATTTAAAATTCCTTTTAAAATAATAGAACCATAGTATTTATTTTATTTACCAGAGCTAAATACACAACAAAGAGATTCAAGATTTTTATCAACAGTTATACTTAAATGCCCCCTTTTTATTTCTATCATAACAATGGTACCTCTCTTAAAAAAAAATGCAATATTTTCTGTATATCCATATTTCAAGACAATAGCAAACAATGGTTTGAGAGGACCTAAAGTTCACATTGCATTATAATGTTAATCAAAAACTTTAAACAGTAATATTACACAGTTCCACTCATCGCCTAAAAACAGTTTTTCTAAGTGCTTGTTCTGCTGAGGTGCAGGTGTTAGCTATATCACTTCCGAAATTCAAAAGCAAAGAATAATGAGGCTTGATAATTTGAGGATAAACACTATTTCAACAATGTAGTTCAAAATACCATTGGGACCATTTCTAAATCCTAAGACAAAATTGACAAATATTTTTTTATTCAAAAGATGGGTAGATTAGTGACAAGAAATTATTAACTGAATAAGGTTTGTTTTTACCTCCAGATTTAATATTTATAGAGAAAACTTAAACTCTTAAACTGACTTGCCTCAATAAGTGCTGTATTGTTGAAAAATGTTATTTATAAATATTTCTGAATTATTATTATTATTATGTATTTTACATTGTACATGTTTCAATACTGCTGTAATGACAGATGATGAATTATGATAGCAGAAAAACTGCAATATTTCACCCTTCTAACATTATATATCTATATTTTAGCATATTAAAGTAATTTTCTCTAAATTTTCATGCAAGTTCTGCTTGTAATTAATGAAATCCTAATAAACTGGATGTAGAAAGATTATAAATTTGCATTACTCTTTCAGCTTAGACTAATGTTACACGTCATAATAATTGTTTAATAGGGTTTATATATTTACTTTGACATATTTTAATGTCATGTCTTCCTCAAGTAAGGTCATACTGATTCCAAGGAATGGTATGGAGACACATGTCTTAGTATTAGACAGGTGTTTATGTTCCTTGTGTGTCTATGATGCAAATGATCTTTAATATGAGTAAAGTTGGGAATATGGGATATAAAACTAAGACTTTGGTCTGATATAAAAATGTGGTATCATCACGATTCTTATTCCTGTCTTCATCTTGTATAAATATGCTTTTTTCCACCTACAGCAACCACAGTTCATAATAACAAATACTGAAGTAAAATCATCCAGAATATCATGTATTTTATTAAGGTAGTCATTTTTGTTCAGAATAAAAATGGTGTTGCCTTTATCAGGGCGTGTAACATGCATGTTTTTATTTAGTGACAATTCTTTTGATGAAAGATCAAGTGATTTGAAGTGAGAGATGTATGAATAAAAATATTGTTTTACTTGCACACTTGAATTTATTTATTTTTCCTCTGCTATCCCTTTAAATTTATTTCCTGCTAACATTTTCAGAATCTGTTGCATTGTACACACTTGTAACTTTCTGGTAGACATCAGTGTACCTTGACAGTACAATATTTTTACAAACATGCTGTTCATGGGAGTGTGAAATTGGATTTTTTTTCTAAGGAGGGAATTCACTGTCAATTCACCAATTTCTAAATGATATATTATAGTTGATGTCTTCCATAGATTATTATAATGGTTACTGAACATACAACAAAAAATAAGCATATTTCTAATTATTATAATACAGTACAGATAAAAGATTTATATTCAGCTAAATGTTGACATTTTCTTAAATCAAAAATGTATTTCCAATAATACTTACCTCTACTCACACTATAGTTATTACTCGACTGCTAGGGTTTCCTTTGCCCATCTAAGCATTGGTCTGATTTTTTTCTCACTTGCTCCAGTCATTTATTCCCCACTTAATTGCCCTTGATGATATCTGTCTCATAACACTCCCCACCTACGTCAATGTGCCCTCTTTCCTGGTACTGCATATAAGCACCTCATTCAGATAATATTATCACTTTCTCAAGACTGACTCAATCCACAGTCTCTAACACCAATTCTTAGTAGGGAGGAAGAGCAGGAGAGTTTGAGAGGAAGTAAGTATTATTTGGAAATAAATTTTTGATTTAAGAAAATGTAAACTTCCAAAACATACCTAACTCTGCTCACACTACAGTTATAATCCAATATTAATAAGTTGGAGGGGCCAGTAAGGGCATTATCCATACAGAAGGCATCTGCACAGATCATGTGCATGCCAACAGAAGATCAGCACCCTAGTGGAGGAACCACACTACATTCAGAACAGGTATGCTCTTCATGTGGAACCTAATTCATGCACTGCAGATGAAATTATACATGATCAGGCTCAAACCAAATAGCCAATGTTCCAGTGCTTGGGGTTGGAATTATAGGGCCATTTTCCCTAAATCCCATGCTGGCAGCTAGGGCAATAGGACTGCAATATATATATATATATACACACACACACACACACACATACTGGTGAGTGGATCCAAACTGTAGCCACAGAGTGATGCGATCCGAGCCACCTGAATCACAATGAGAAGGTAAGCAGCACCGAAGTGGACAAACCTTCTCCTCAACCTCTTCCAAGAACAATATACTAAACCAATATTAATAAAAAAGAAGGGCCACACTTAACCCAACCAGATAGTCATGCATCAAATCTGATTCGGTATTACAAGTAAGCTGGTGCCTCTCCTACCAACATCTGGGAAAAAAACATCCAGGATTCTGGGTAGGAGGGCCCCCAATTTTGCTTACTTCTTTGAGAGTAGAGGAATTCCCTCTAACACTCTGGAGGAAAACCCTCTCTCCCCCACCCTAGTGACCGGAAACCAGGTGTGGTAACAATTCCCTAGCTTCACTAATCGAATCTGGAGGGGTAATGAGTGTTGGGGAGCCCTAAGGAACAATGCTCTTGAAACAGTGCAACAGGTGAACCAAGTTCCCTAAATTTTTAAAAGCAAACTGACCCCGATTTATTCAATTCTATGATCGACAGGATCTCTTCATGCTTTACTCATGATAGTCCATGAGTTGCAGTCCAGCATAGTACAGTAATACCACCTGGTCAGCCTCTAGGTGCTCTTATGGAACACCTCATTTCTACAGATCCTGTTGCAACCCAGATAAAGTATATTGTGTTTGTGGTTGCTAGTGCAGAATTGGTTTGTATAAGCACATCTGCCAGGGCAACACTCACCACTGTGAAAAAAGAGGTAGGGGACATTGCAAAATAAAGAAGAGACAAGAGTAGCAATGAAAATGCTCATCTCTCTTTATAATCTAGTAGATATGATTAAGATAGCTATAAGGATAGTTGGAAACCCTCAAAGGAAAATACTGATCATGCAAATAATGCAAGATAAAAGTATTGGGGGAACTCCATATACCAGCCCACACAATGTCCTCCAGCAGGGAATTCAAACCGAGCTGCTAAAGGACATAGAAATGTGATGAATCTAATTGAGACTTGCAGAAGTCTCTTCGCTTACAAAGAGAGTCCAGAATAAGCAATATGGATCAATTTTTGTACCCACTTTGTCCAGTTTCGTGGAGATAAATCCTGGGAAACTGAAGGATCCCAATGAATAAAAAGTCATTGTCTAGCACCTCTAAAGGCATTAGGGTGAGCAACATAACATTCAGGGCTCTCACTGAACATAACAAATAATCAGGATCAAATCGGTCATAGAGTTGATAAATAGTGGTAAGATGAATCGATGAAAATGATTTATCTGTTTCCCTGGCTGCAAATGTCTTAAGTAAAAAGAGCCTGTCTTGGTACAGAAGTATGTAGGTAGAATGATAAAGTGTCCTATGCACATGCAGCACAAACAACTGTGATTGGTGACATCTGCAGGCCAGCAGCAACAAAAAATAAACTTTAAGGGAAAGGTGAAACATGGTACATGAGGCTAAGGGCTCAAACGGATGTCAAGACAGAGCATGTAATACCACCTTAATATACCAGTTAAGTAACTGAAATATTCTTTTGGGAGAAGGACCCGAAACGACTTAAGGAGGATGGAGAGCAATGGGGACTCAAATAATTTCAGTCTCTTCAAATATCAAAAGGTAGTCGATAAGACTGCCATATAGAAAGTGACTGTAGAAGATGCTAAATCCTTGTCAAAGAGCCAGGTCACAAAATGAGCTATGGTTTGCACATCTAGATGAAGTAGAGTCAACCTTCTGGTAATACAGCATTGTCGATACGTGTGCCATTTTCATTGATAAATGTCCATCACGAGACTATGCAGAGACTGAGACAGACACATAGCAATCTTAGAAGTGAAACTCCAATGCCATGCAAAGGACTGCATAACCTCCATGCATGAAGCTTAGGCTTTGGGATAGCTTGATGTTAGATCATGTCTGCCTTGATAGAGAAGGCCAAAGAGGAAGTGGAAGAGGTGGGCACTCTTGAAGGTACCAAATAAGCGGAAATCATGGTTGGCCCAACCAATCCGGTGCTACCAACAGAATACAACAAGAACCAAGAGCAAATCCAACAGAAAACCTTACAATTCATTTGGTCATGAGAATCTGTTTGGATCAAGACAAATGGTCCCCTACCAAATTTTGAGGACGAGGTTGCAGCAGAGGAATACCTACCGTAGTATTGTTCCAATCTAACCACTACTAAAGATTGAAGATGTTGATCCTGAATAGGGAGAGTGGGTAATCCAGTGGATTGTTGTTCATGATCCATTGGTTGCATAATGACCACTGAAGGGATCTCATGTTTGCTGGTCCCAAAGTGATGCCCACATCCCCAAAAGAGAAAGATCCATCTGCACAGTGGAAGAAGAAAACGTGAGTTAGAGTCGAACTGCCTGTTCCATGGCATGGAGCTAGATGGAGTCGTTGAGCCTGACTGAGATAAGTGTTTAAAAAAAAGACATCCAGATGAACAATATATTGTGCTGTGGAATGTGAATAAGTTCTCAGCTCTGATAATAAAGCCTGCCTTGTTAACTTTTGAAAGGAGAATCTGGGTGTGATATTCCACCAACTGACAAGATGGTGTCAGCAGTAACCAGTCATCCATATAATAGTGTGCATAGGCCTAGGGAATGGAGGTGAAAAATGCCAATGCAGAGTGAGGATCCAAGAATTGGTTGAGACGAAAAAGACCGATGACTGGATGCCAATTTACCATCTTCTTGGGTGCAACCAAGACTATAAAACCCTGAAAAAAACTGGGTCGACTCCCTCCACTGCCCTCTTGACCAACAAATCTAATAGTCCTGGAATAAAGTTCCGAAATCTGAGGATCTGAAGGAGTCAGAAACAGTACAGATTGGGGGGAGAGGGGAGGATAATGGTGGTGGTGATGTGAATTGAATGACTAATCCTGATGCAAGAACTTGTAGTACCATGGACTTGTGGTAAAGATGTTCCATACATCCCACAATTCTCAGACCCCAGAGGCATACAGTAGTCACTGCCGCCAAATTTTCATAGCTTGGTTATATCCATAACATTTATTTTGAACTACTGTCATTCTTAAAAACAAATGCTTTGACAAGTGTCCCCTCACTGTGGATTGGTGTTTGGAAATTCTGCTTATAACATGTTGGTTAAATTTAACTCAAAATGGATGCTGTCTCTAGTCATTCCTAATCTGTTTACAACTCATTTTGTACATGCATATACAGTAAATTTATAAGAAATAAATGAGGTATGAAAATTAGTACACTATGCATGACAACTACATACTGTAGAGTGGTAATAATACATTTTCACTAAAAGTGGGACAAAGCTACACCATTTTATGATGCATAGACTGCTATCACTTATTTTTTTGCAACCTTCTTATGTTGCATATGCTTCCTCAGGCTCAAGTCAGTTAATTAGTTTCCAATTTACACATACAACCTTCATATTTTAACTTTTCTATATTTATATTTAAATTTATATTTATATTTAAAATATTCAATAATCCTTACCCATTCTGCTCCACGGGAATAAGGTTTTGATTTGGTCTTGCTTCGTTCTCCTAATCTTGACTGCACTATTACTTGAACTGCTTTAATTGCTAGAAATTTCATGAACTTTTCCAGGTCATGACGATCATGAGATGAAAGTTTAGCTTTTACAGACATCATTATACATTAAATTGTAATTTAAACGTAAATGTAAAATTTTAAGTTAAGGCTTCACTTGAACTCTACATGTATTTATGTACTTACAAGTTACACTTTACAGTCTCAAATGTAGCTTACTTTGAAATTTGACATAATTTAAAAAGATTACTTCTGACTTGACCTATCATAGTAATTAATAAATCTTCTTTGGCACACCAATGTTTGCCTGAGAAAAATACTTAAGACTTAAATTGTTAAACTTAAAATCCTAACACTGACTGAATAGATTGATTAAAACGTGGACTGCATAATATATATCATTATCACTGCAGGCCTAACAGTAACACCGTATTTAAAATTACTTAGATACAAAAGACAGCTAGTTTGACTTTCACAAGTTTGAGTTTGATCGACTTGGATTTGGAATAATGCAGACGCTACCAAACTGAAGGATCCACAAATACAGCATTTTTGTTTTCTCTTTCATTCACACTGTACCTTCCGCGTCGTACTCCAATTCTTGGTGTACTACTACTAGTACTATATAATATATTCTATTTCTAGTATAGTTTGCTTACTTATCTAGTCTGTTATCTTATTTATCAGTTACTTAACACAGAAAGAAGAATAATGTCACTGTGTCCAGTCCACATGCTCACGCGTACTTTGCTCGTTAGCATTGAGTAAACAAGCACTTGAAATCTCAATAAACATATCCTCTATTTCACTGAATCTTTGTGCAATAAACTTGCGTTTAAACCCTTTGTAAAAAGAGATCTAAAGTCATAAGGGCTGTTGTTATTCAAACTGATACTGTATAAAAAAAAATTGCTTTAGCATATTTTCAACGAAATGTAAAAGCAAAACTCTCTCTACCACACTCGTTAACTGATACAGGACACACGACTACAGCCATTTTCCACATCGCATTTCCCAGCATGCTTACGTAGCGCAACTTATAGTCGCAACCACCCAGTGAAACACAGATGACTGGTAAAATCCGGCAAAAAAAATTTGAAATAGTAACAGTAATGAGTTTAAAAGCATTTCGTTTAAATAAAGAGTATGCTAATTAAATTAAATTCTTGAGTATTTCAAACTTCAGTGAAGATATATGGGTATTACATGATGACTTGGATCACTTTATTACAATAAGTGCAAAATAATGGATTAACTAGAAAGGGTTTAGAAGACGCAGCACCGGTACATGGTTTGGAAAATGGGTGAAAAGAGATAGGTCATCCCTTCCCGCCCGAAGGCCAACCCCTCTTGAACAACTGTCGTGGAGAAACAGCCTCTTGAAGTGAAATGTCCCTTACAGAGCATTATTGTGCAATATATGTGTGTGTGACAGAATAGCCTACCCAAACAAAAGATTCATAAGCCGCCTATGCAATAGAAGGTTACTGATATGATTCTGGGGATCGAAGGGTTATCTAACAGAGATAGGTCAGGATTTCTTAACTTCATTTCTCTTAAGAGAAAAAGGGTAAGAGGGGAGGGTTACAATATTATCCGGGAATCGATAGGATAAGAATTTCTAATGTCTTTATGCTGTATTCTGAAGATAATAAGACAAGTTTAAGGTTTAGAAAAGCCAAGCTAGGCCCCATTTTATACAATGTTATTTTTTAACAGGGTGATTAACTTATGGAATGAATTGCCGTCGGCAGTAATGGAAGTCCAGTACTTTGGGGTATTCTCAGGTAGATTGCGAAGAGTAACGGAGGTCCGACAGAAAATATATCACAAAGCAAACCTGAATTCTCTGACTTCAACTGGAAGAAATGAAAGAAACTGAACACAATTTGCAAAAAAAAAAAAAAAAAAAAATATTTAAGTCGCAAAAACAATTAAAAGAGGGTATTCATAAAAGACGACACTTTTACTGGAAGGAGTTATCTGTATATCTCTAGAAGTGTGTTAAGAATCAGAAGTTCGATAAGTTGTTCCAAACAAAATAAGCATAACATTACATACCCAAAAACTATAATGCTATTCTTCTCCAGGCGCATGCGCTATCCCACGTGATGGTTGGTTATTCCTAAGTAAGGGAGGTTATATCCTCGAGAGGCCTGACACCACCAATGGAAAAAATCACTGTCTACTTTCACAAAATACGTACAACTGTATAGAAATCTTTGACAAGGAAAACCACACGTGACATATTATAGGGATGGTCCAGAACAATACGTAACTAGGGGAAAGGAACTTAGCTTCTTCTGTGACCTATGTTTTATTTTAAACCAGCTTATACCTGTATGAATGAAATATTTAAAAAATATATCTATATTAAAGAGGAGCGTAGCAAACACATTATATACTTGCAAACAATAAGAAGAGTTTACTTGTTAATTTCCTGAAAAATAAAGGATGGATTTAAATGTTTACTTTTCTCAAGAGTGGGGGTGGAATGATAGTCTCAAAAGGACCTAATCGCCCCTTCTTTTTCATGTTGTTATTACTTTTTATAATATTGTACAAATAATATCTCATTTTCATTGTTCAACAAAGAACTAAATTACTAGAAAGCATATATTAGCTGTTATTAAAGTATGCTCTGAGGAGGGGGAAGTCATTGAGGAAATTGTTTTAAAATGCCTTTTTCGTTGAAAGGGAAATTTTAGATCCTTGATGATAATAACTAGTGTCTTCTTAATTAAGATAAGAGTTGTTATTAAAAGTGTGGTCTGAATTCAGAAAAGTATTTAAAAACTGTGAGTGCAAGATCCTATGTTTGAAATAATATGTCTGAACAGAATACCTTCTTTGTGGATTTTGAATGTATTATATATTAGGTTAGAATGTGTGTGTGTGTGCCTGAGGGCCTCAATTTTTCAACATAGAAATCATTATTAACATCAGCTTTTTAGAGATCTCAGATAACAGGATAATTTGTTTTTGCATGTTTAGGTTGATTCAAAACATATTTTTTTTTAAACAAACACTTGCATAAAACAGATATCTAACTTGCTTTTAGGAACCAAATGATAAGAAAATGCTCAGCTTTGAAAGATAAAATTCCAACAATAATCAATAAAATTTCCTTGTACAAAAAAAAAAAATCATGAGAACAAACTCATACTAGCTTGTAAATGAAATAACGGTTCTCTCAGTTGTATATAAAAACTTCATCATCAAAACAGAACTGTGATCTTACAAAGCAAGAAAACCAAGAATGAACCTTTCTCCTCCAATCCCAGATTCAAAGTCCAAGGAAATTGTAAACTATTTTTCTTATAGAACTCTATATCTTTCCATACTTAACCTTATTAGCAAGTCGCCCATTCTCTAAGCAATCTAAACTACCGAAATAAGATAAGAGTTCCTATTCATCAACATTTAGTGATAAAAAATTTTATATTCAACCAATCAAATAATTTTAACCTATACAAATGAACAACACCTCACAAGAAAGGAAAACCCTTCGATGATAGATTTTTTTTCACACTAATCCCGTTTAATCAGAAACCTCGAACAAAGCAAAAAATTATAATTTTCAAATGTAAGTAAAGCATGTTGACGTTTACTACAACGTAACAATAAAAATAGCAGTATGCAAAACTAACACTTTTTAAATAACGTAAATACTATTAGATAGAATTTGAAGTATTAAGTGTTAAATAGTCAATATACAGATACACCAGGTAACTATTGCAACGAATTTATTATTATATATTTATTTTAATATCAATGTTTGTTTAGATTAAGTTTATATTTCAAAAATTGCAAAGCTTATACTGTTAAATATGTATTGCGAAACTCCAGCCTATTCTCCGAAGTTGTAGAAGATTCTCGATAATAAGAATCAACAATATATGTATATACATAAACGTTTAAATGTAGCTCAGTGTTGTTACATAATCTGAATTTTCTAGAAAACCTACCCACGCGTATAAATACAACCAACGGGACGCGCCAAAAGAGATTTTTATTATTAGTTCATTATAATCAGTATGCGATAAAACATTGGAAGCTATAACTGTGATTATTATAACGCTTATCAATCGGAAAACTATAGATATTTGACCCGGATCTTTTACAAAGTTCGAACATTACAAACCATTTAACTTCAGTGGTTTCTCATCGGACATTAGTGTTTTTACGAAAACATTTTAT